GTGGGTAGCAGGGAGAAGGGCGGGCAGCTGCCCTGGGAGCTTTGGGAGACCCAGGACAGCTGCCTGCCACAGGAAGGGGTCTGGCTGCCTGGGCCTGTTGAGCCCAGGGAGGGACCTGCCCCCACCCTTCCTCCCTCAGGGCCAGGGTGGCCTCAGGACCCTCTGGGACCCTCCCACTCCGCCTTGGGAGTGGGAAAGCCAGGAGGGGTGGGGGAGGGTGGGAGCCTCGGAGCCAGAGCAGCAGCAGAGCCAGTAATTCAAACCATCCTGACCCCCCGGTGAACCCGGGCCTGCTGACCTTGACAGCCCCGGCAAGAGAGGCCTCACAGACCTCAACCTGCACAGGCCCGCACCTCTCCCTCCTTCTTAGAGGCCTGCGCCCAGCCTCCAGGTGGCTCCTCCGCTGGCCATCCACCTGAAATGCCAGCATCCCCTCCCTCCCTGAGGCTGCCTGCCTGCCTCCAAGCACCCTTTGTGCCCATCGCCACTGGAGACAGACCGCGGGCATCTCCTGGGCCTGCCCAGGCTGTGGCTCTTACCCCTTCCCTTCTCCTTGGCTGGAGACTTCATCTCTGAGGTCTGGTGCGTGTGTGTGTGTGAAGTCTGGGTGCACACAGTGATAGAATGGACACAGACAGTGGACAAGCAGCGAGGACAAGCTGGAGGAAAGTGGCCCCAGGAACCTGCATTAAAGTAAATGCAGTTTATAAGTTTATGCTCTGCTTCTTGGGAGAGCTGGACGCCATCCAGCAGCCCTCAGAGCCTGCCAAGCAACGGAGGTGTGGAAAGCTGGACTGGAGAGCAAGGAGCCAGCGGCAGGGAGGGGTGCACAGATGTGAGTCTGTGAGGCTCACATCAACCTGGGCCTCAGCAGCCCGGCTTGGCCTGGTACCAATGGCCTGTTTGGAGGGCAGGCTGCAGCAGCTGCTCTTTCCTCGGCTCCTCCTTGCTCCCACGCCCGCTCTGTCCCCTCAGGATGAGGTAAACTGAGTCCGGGGGTGTGGAGCACCTGGGGCCAGAGCCTAGGAGCCAGGCTGGGTGGCCGGTCAGGACAGTCAAGGGACCAGGGTCCCATCCCATCATGGCTCCCATGAATGAAGCAGCTGCTCTTTCGCTGCTAGGTCCAGGCCACATGGGCCTTGTAGCCACCGAGGACAGCTAGTGGCATCTCCTAAGGAGATCTTTTACTTTTCTTCCTGAGAACTCAGAGGACATAAGTGACTGGCAAGGCCGGGCACAGGAGCCATCAAAGGGACTTGTAGGCAGGTCGGCGTGAGTGCCCTTCCAGATGGGCTTGCACATGTGTGTGCACCAGTGACATGGAAGCAAGTGGGGCCTTGACTTCGGGCAGTGGAGAACGTGGAGGAGAAAAGTGACCCAAAGGAAGAGTGCAGCAAAGACCCAGGCCTGAGGGGGAGGTGACCCTGGGTCATGCCTCAGCTGGGGACAGAAAGCAAGACAGCCTCTCACCTCTTCCTGAGACTTTCATGTCCCCAGTTCTGTAGGAGCTGGGACAAGGACAGCAGGAGTGGAGTCAGGCAGAGGCAGGGTGTGGAGGGAGAGGGAAGGGCGGGCAGGGATCCCCGTTGTGGAGTGTGTCCTGAGCAGTCCCGAGAGGCCAGGCGCGGAGAGCCTCGCTGTGTGTCCCCCGCGCCCTCCTCAGCCTGCCCGCGCCCCTCCATTGGCTCCGGTGCGTGTGTTGATTTGCATGTCAGGCAAAGCCTTGCTTCACACAGAAAGAAAACCCCAGCCGAGGCCGTGTGGCAGTGTCAGCTCTCGCTGTTGTTCGACAGTGTAAAATTAAATTAATAAAGCCCCCAACACAGGAAAACATAACAGGAAATTAATGGCCTTTACTGTCGCTCTGATGCAGTCATTTGCAACCCTGCTTTCCGCACCAAAGACTTCATAAATGCAAGCAGTTTCTCTAAACAAGCATACTTAGGGCGGCCTGGTATGTAATTTTTCGCCTTGCTTGTGTCCTTTGAGCTAACAAAGCCCCCTTCCCTCCCAGCTCCAGAGCTCTTCAACTGGTTCTGGCCCTGGCTGGAGACCAGTGGGGCAACATCAGGCAGTAGGCCCCGCCCCTCCCTGAGGGCCCAGGGAGGGCAGAGGAGGCTGGCATCCCGGCAGAGACACGGCGAGCCTGCCTTGCCCATCAGCTCTGCGGGCAGGCCAGCAGGGAGATTGGTCACCCAGGACACTGTCCACCCTGGCCAGCCCACCATCCCCTTCCTAAAGTGGGTCTCTCCGCTGCCTTCCCTTCCCACTGCCAGGGCCCTCGCCTCCCTTCTCCTGGTCTGTACCCATCCAGCACCCTGTATTTCCTCGCACACGGGACACATAGTTGGCTGGCTCTGCCTTGGCAGTGGGTAACCTGGAGGTTGTGAGGGAGAAGAGTTTAACTTGTTCAGTCTGGGAACCTTAACTGAGGTGTGGTGCACACCTGTCGTCCTAGCACTCAGGAGCCTGCAGCAGGAGGATCACAAGTTCAAGGGTACCTTGTCTCAAGATAAACCTTTAGAAAGTGTGGGGCTGTAGCTCAGTGGTGGAGCGCTTGCTTAGCATGCACAAGGCCCACACGAAAGCAAACAAGACAAAATGAGAAGAGCAACTGTGCTGGTATGATTTCTCAGGTCCTAGGTTTCCCCCAGCCTCTGTCTCCCCTGCTGGTCAGTTAGGAAGGATGAGGGCCCTCGTGGTCATCGAAAGCATCCTCTGTCCTGGGGCACATTTCGGACTTGAGAGTCTGTGACTTTGCTGAGTAGGCAGGATATTGAGAACACGTAGCTGTCCTCCCTGGGGATATGTGGGTCAGTGTGAGGCCTTCACATCACACAGCGTCTGTCACTGAGTGCTGGGCCACGTGGCCATGTGTTCAGCAAGGGTCCAGGACAGGTGTGAAGAGCAGGAGGGAACCAGCTTGAGCCTGGGAGCAGCTGAGATTGGCAGGAGCTGTCCCCAGGTGGGGGGCACCTCGCCCAGGGAGGGCACTCAGGGGCTGCCTGAGAGTCTCAGTTTCTTGAGGTCATCCAAGCCTCCCTGCCGCTCACGTGGAAGGCTCCCCTCCAGCAGTTCTGCTAGTAAAGCCCCTGCCCTGGCCTGGAGGAGGACAGGGAGGGAGAGTGACCACTGTCTGCATCTCTGCCTTTATTCTGAGTCAGTGTGACCCCGAGGGCAAAGCATGGGACTTGGAGTCCCAAAGTCTTGGTGTGGGCTCCACCTCCACCTCTCACCTGCCCTGGGGCTTCAGCTAGTTACATGATCTCCTGGAGCCCCAGTTCTGTCCTCTTCGGAACACATAGAAATCGGAGCATTTTCTGCACAGAGTGCTGGATGGTGCTGAATGTCTCCATCCGATATCCCCTCTCTCTCCCTAGTGCCTTCTCTCACACCTTCCCTCTGTTGCTTCCAGTGGAACAGGTGGATTTGGGCTTCTCACAGAATGTGGTTCCAGCCTCTGTGGAAGTTGTCTCACAGTCCTGGTTACCCATCTCTGAACTCATTCTTGCAGGCTAAAGTCTCCTAAATGAACCCCAGACCTAGCGACTGTCCAGCCTATGCCAGGCACAGCAGCACCACCGCCAGTGTCCTGCCTGGAGACTCTACACCCATAACAGAGCCTAAGATTACCTTTGATTTTTTAGCAGCCGTGTCAGACTCCAGCTCATATTGAGTTCGTGGTCAACTGAAATCTGGAGATCTTTTTCACATCAATTGCTATCAGGCCAGGTCTACCCCATTCTATAGTTGTGTAATTGATTTTTTTTGTAAACCTAAACATAGGGCATTCCATTTATCCTTGTTGAATTTCATCTTGTTGGTTTGGGTTCTTAATTTTGTCTGATTAAGGTCACAAGGATGTCTTCTGTGTCATCCAAGTCATTTCTTCTTTTAAAAAGTTATTTTCCTTTAAAATAAAGGAAAGTAAATGTTCCACCCATGGAGACTCCCCTCCTGGTTGCAATGAGTGAAAAAGGAGCCCAGCGGCCACTGGCCATTTCACTTGTCTTTAGTCCAGAAGGCTGGGAAGGAGAGTCTTGGCCATGTGTCAACATTTTACTACAGCTAAATAATTTCCCCAGTAGATTGATTAAAAAATCCAGTTTAGGGCTGCGGATGTAGCTCAGGGGCTCCCCATCTGCCTGGCAAGTGCAAGGTCCTGAGTTTGATCCCCAGTACCAGGGAGGAGAAATACATCCAGTTTAACTTGCTGAGCGAATCGAGTGCCTGGTATAGAAAGTCTTGGTCTGGAGAAACTTATAATCTAGCACAGAAGCAGATGTGTATGTCATCACAGACAGAATGTGATCAATGCTACGATCAAGGCTTGAAAGTCAATGCTGAAAAGAGAAAAGGGAGAGTTGGTTCTCACCGGGGCAGCTGGGGAAGTCTTCCTGGGTACAGTGTCTGATCTGAGCATGGGTACCGGGGTCACTGTGCCACTTCGCCTTCTTGGCAACTACTGCAGACTCTGGGCCATCACATTTTCTCTTCTAGTGCCCACAGATTAGCTGTGTGATAATCACCTCTAAAAGTGATCCAGAGCCCGATAGTGAATTTATTATACCTTCATCTACACCATCCCACCTTTCCTTTGAGGCAGGAAGGTATTGGATTTGTCACTACATCCCTCTTCCCTTATGACTTCTTTGCTCAAAGATTATCAACCTCAGTCTGGGTTATGCTCGGCGTGTGAACGGTCTGGGAAGTTAACTCAGCAGTAGCAGCTCAGAGCTGCCTGCCGGCCAGGGTGCCAGTGCCTCCTGCTGGGTGGGTTTTGAAGGATTTCTTCTTTGGGGAAGCAAACAAAGGCAAGCTCAGGATTGAGAAGCTTCCTCTTCTCCCCCACCCCTCCCTCC